AATACTACTGGACCAAAGGACAGCTCGATGCATGTTCTTGGCAAAGCTGGTCCTTCCTGGGCTGTGTTGCTGTCTCCCATGACTCAGGTTGCCTGCTTTGTAGGGTGAGGAGGAACCGTAGCAGGGCTGTTAGGTAGATCCGAGGTTCCCAGGAGGGGATTTTGCCCCCAGGGGACACTGAAAATATCAGAAAACAATATGAGGTTTCGCTTGACACAATCAGGCGACAGTGCTGGATGTTCATTAGTGGGCAGTGACCTGTATATGTCCTGCAATGCACAAGACAGGCCCCGCCACACAGAATTACATGACCCAAAATGTCAGTAGTGCCCTAGGGGAGAAATCATGGGATATGTGGACATGAAGTGTCTTCCCCTTCTTCATTCTAAAACCACTGGCTCTGTCATCATTTCCCTTTTTATTCCACCTAAAACTTGGCAGACCCAAGGGACACTGTTTATTGTAGAATCATTAAGTAGTAACGTTTTCTTCTTCCAAACCCACAGAACGTGAGGCTGCAGTTGGAGTTGAATGTGGCTTTGCTCCTCCCTGCCGCTTCCCCGCCATTTTGCCCCATGCCCTGAGCAGTTCCCTTTCCTTTGAGTCTCGCCCCTCACCCCTGGGATGCTGCCATCTCTGCATTTCTTTGTGCCATTTTCTGCTGAATTCCTGGTTCCTGTTGACGAGTCACTCGCCTGCCGTCCTCGGTGACTTGGATACTGTCTCTCTTGGACCGCCACCACCTGTCCTGGCGGTCTGGTCCCTCTGTCCCTCTTTCTCCAGGCACCCTTCTCTCCTGCCTCAAGGCCCACTGCCTGGCTTGGGTGAGAGAAGCATCCCTCTGTTTTCCCTTGCACGCACCCTCAGCACAAACCTCCCAACTCTGCTTAGCCCAAGCTCACCCCACTGTACCCTCAGGAGGGTCCCTGCCAACGTGTTCCTAGTCTCATCGTAAGGAGGTCTCGCCTTGTCTCAGCCCTTTCTGCATCCTGTGCTTCCTCTTCCCTCCTAGATCTTTCTGAGCAGCACGCAAACATCCTGACTCTCACTCAAGAGAGGTCCTCCCTGACCCGCTGCCCGTGCCATCTGCTGCCTTATTTCCCTCTTCTTTCGTGCAGCCAAAACCCTTCAAATCAGTTCTCTGGACCATTTATCCTTCAGCTCCTGCCATGTGCATCAGTGACTTACACACTGAATAGCCAAAGGGTCAAGAAACTTGTGCTGTCACTCAGCAGCAGGCATAATTGAGATCGAGCTCCCTCTTTCTTTCTTGGCTTCTGGAACATAGAAACTGTGGCTGTTTGTTTATTTTTATTTGCAGAATGAGTAGCTTCCTGTCAGTCTCCTTGGGTGGTTTCCTTCCTGTCCTAGTCCTTAAATCCTCCAGGACACCACCCTGTTCTCTTCCCTGACTTCCTCTCACTGGGTCTTCTCACTTGCAGCTGAATGCCGTTAACTACGTGCCCTTTGCTGATGCCCACAGTGGTCTTTCCCCATGAGTCAGCTTGGGCAGCAGCCTTCCCTGTACCTCTCCACTTAGACATGGCAGGAGGCGCATCAAACCGGAAGTGTCCCACTTAGTACATTGCACTCCTGTCTCCTGCACCCCACCCCTCACTCCCTGATTCTTCTTCATCTCAGGAATTAGCACAAGTTTCCTCCAATGCATGACTTGTCCTGATGTTTAAAATAACTTTTCCTTCATCCTCCATGTCCAGTGTAGAACAAGTCTTCCCTCCCCTCCCCTCTCCTCTCTTACCCCACCCTTCCTACTTTTGTCGGACCATTTTCTGCACCACAGATTCTCACGACCCATCCAGCATCAACATAATTGCTCGACAGAGGCCAATCGAAGAGCACTCACTAGTCATCATGTGCAAAAGTTATTTTATAATTTTTCTAGGATGTTAGGAACATCATTTATCTTTTTATTCCTTGGATGTAAAGTGAGCAGCTCATTCTATACAGCAGAAGTGACTGTCACTTGATATTCAAGCTCCAAAGAGGAGAAACATGGGTGAAAGGAAATAAAGTCTTGCAGTTTAGAGGATCACTCAATGGTGATGTCTTCTGATATACAGGTAGGCGGAGCCTGACATCTCCGGTGTCCTGTTAGTGCTGCATCCGGCTGGGTTCCCTAACTGTTTCCAGCAGCCTTGCTTTACGCACAAACAGGCTCTCTGAGCTTCCTTCTTTGGCAAATGGAAAACTACAGACTCTTTGGAGGGAAGGAGGTGCAGACACAGCACTCCCTTTGCCCTGGGGCTTCCTGTGGGGCCTCCCCTGAGCTGCCTGCTCATGCTCACTGGCTTCTATGAGAAGGCCCGGATGGCCGAGGAGCATCTCTCCCCTGAGCCCGTGCCGACCCCAGATCCCAGGTGCTGCTTTCCATGGCCTCTTCCTTACAACTGTCTTTGGTGACCAACGTGCCTGGGCTTCCAGCCAAACGGAGCCCACCAGCCTTGATCCCACTAATTACTTCATTGTAGGCTTTGTAGTGTAGAGGCCAGGGAGGCAGTGCACTGCTGCTGCCTCTCAGCTCCAGCCCCACTCCCTGAGCGGAGCCCAGCGGCCAACACTGGGCGGGGAGCAGCAGCTCACTCACCTTCTGAGGCAGGCGCCGGATCCACTGAGCTAAATCCCCGGCCCTCAAAACTCACTCACCTTCTGGGAACTGAGAGAAAGCAAGAGTTCTGGAGATTATTACTTGTTTCCTGAAACTGGTTTCAGGCAAACAACTATACAAAACCCAATATTTAATAACATTATTATTAACAAAATCCACGTGACCCATACTAAGCGAATGTATTACTTTTCCATTTAAAGTACAGCATAGATCGACAAGTTCATGTCAAGCATCTTCTGTTAGCTTCTCTTGGGAATAGAAAGAACATTAGATTGAAGATAAAATACTATGACTCAAGTATCAGTTCTTTTTAAACTCAGCGTGAAAAGGCTATTTTAGTAACTACTGATACCAGTCCCAGGTGGAAAATTTTGTATCTTATTGGGATAGTGGTTAAAATAGATAATCACCAGGGCCACCTGTTACTCTCAAACATAAGTTCTGTCTTCTGTAGATTCTTCTTTCCAAAAAAAGAATCTGCTTTTGAAAACTTTAAACATTCTTTACTTGCACTATGCAAATCAAGTTTTAGTCATGTACTGTGCAATGGATTATAAAACAGGCTACATATTTACAAACAAAATAAATGGAACACTAAAGCCTTCTTGGAACACAGTGGGTATAAATAAATGGGTAGATGCAAAGTTTTATTTTAAGTAGACAGAATTAATTTGGATGAGGATAATGACCCAGATTTCTGGTGTTTGTTAAGAATGTGAAAAGCACCTTTGCAATTATAGTGGTTGGGTTTTGGTTTCCCAACTGTGAAGCCAGTTTCACAAAGGATGTTTATATAATTGAACTCAGGGGCCCGGACTTGCCAGGACAGCAAACAAGTTACTCTGCTACTCTTATCATCAATGGTTATTATGACTCCAAATTGCATCACTTTTCTTTTATATAGATTATCAGTCACTGGAACCATTACAGGTCAACGTTGCCATTTTCCTCCTTGGCATAAAAATAAATTTGCTAAGCCAATACTTTGCTCTTACTTTTAAAATAAAAGCATTGATCAGCAAGTTCATGCCAAATCACCTACGCAAGTTTCTCCTGGAAGCTATAAAGTCTAATCTGATTAGGAAAATAGAAACAATTCCTACAGGTGTTGATATAATGTGCACTGCGATAGCTTTCTTTGCTGCTGTCCAGTTCTATTCATAGCATTTTTTTAAAACTGGAAAGAGATCCAATGGATTCTGCTTGTTTCAGATAGACTAGTAAATACACTTAGTGTTTGATCTTTCTCAGTTAATGAGCCTTGGTAAAGTAAAAATTTCCTTGTTATTTCAACATTTTGAATGGTTATAACCATACTTTCTCTTTTCTTTCTGTTCATAAAAGAAAATTGATTCCAATGGGACAACATCTTTTTCATTAACTACCTGTTCAACTTTTATTTAAAGAACATTTAAAAATAGTTCTCATATTGAGAACAACTTTTTTGTTTAACCAGCTTATGCCTACATATTTTCCAAACTTGCCTCCCTACTTCTCAAATAAGCAGTAACCTAGAGGGTTTCTATTCTATTATCCAGTCCTTAATTCTCTGTATGTATTGTGCATCTCAAAGCTTCCAAGCATTTTTCCAACTCTGGTGATCTAAGTGCAGTGATTATTTGCATTTCCTTGTAGCACTTCCTTCTGATGACCACACCCTTGCTCTTTAAATTCCTCCTTGGGCCCTGGTGACGTCTGTGTGCTCCTCTGTCCCTCCCTTTTCTCTTGACTCTCCCCTGTGGTGCTCCACAAAGTTTGGTGTCTCATCAACGTTACTACTCTCTTATCTGCAGTGAGCAATTCTTGTCTCATGACTTGAGCTACAACTTTCAAGCTAGAATATTCATCTCTGGATCTAGTCTGTTTCCAGTCCATTTTCTGTTGCTATAATGAAATACCTGAGGCTGAGTACTTTATACAGAAAAGATTGTGTCTCAAGACACAATCACACAATAGTTTCTGTTTCCAACACCTTTTTTCCCATGAAGTAGGTTATTGTCTTTCTAATTCAACCATTTTAGAATTTTGAAACAGTCTTTTATACTTTATTTCTTTTCTCACATAAATACATTTGGGATTGTTTGCTATTGATGTAAGGTTTCATGTTAGTGTTCAGCTGGATAGATCAGCTACTCCTAAATATGACTAGCATTCTTACCTACTTAGAAATGCTTGGAAGTTTGAATGACTGACAACACCACACCAAGACTGAAAAGACAACCATAGTACTTTGAATAAGCCTTTTACTCAAAAGTAACTTCTAGGGTACATTCTTGTCCATCTGTCTTTTTATCCATCCATCCATCCATCCATCCATCTTTCTACATATCTACAAACGGACCCACCTGTGTCTTTGTTTCTGTCTCTCTTTCAGGGTTTCTCAACCTCAATACTACTGTCATCTGGAACTTGACAATTCTTCATTTGGGAGCCTGTCCTGGTCATTGTAGGATGTTAAGCAGCACAGCAGGCCTACACCTACTAGATGCCAGTAGCTGCCCCCACCCTCATCGGCAGCAACCAAAAACATATCTGCCGACACCGTCAGATGTCTTCTGTGGAGCAAAATCTCCCCCTTCCCCAGCTGAGAATCACTGTTCTATCCTACACTCGACATCTCTCCATAAAATAACCCATCCCTAATATTGCTCCATAAATTCCATAAAAATGTTAAAATATGTAGCATTTGATTCTAACATGTTATTAATGCCTTTCCAAACAGATAAATGTTCTATAGAAAATAACAAGCAGCATGTGTTTTTACTTGTTTTTCTTTTAAATCCAGTTGGAGAAATAGTCCTCCTGCACTTGTGTGCTGACGGATTGGGCACTATGAACTCTCCTTTTCCATTAAAATTGGCTTCCTGCAAACACTTGGCCATTGATTTATGCACTAGTTAACTAAAATATATCCATTAAACCTACTTTATAACCAGAACGAGTCTAGGCACTGTGAGGAGTCGTTTTCCACTTAAAAACACAAGCCTGCCCTCTTGGAGATGAACTTGTAAGTGGAGAGGAAGGAGTTCCATGCTTGGAATAGGCGAGCTCTGAGTCTCACATCCTAGAAAAACATGAATCATACAAAAGCTGAGTTTGGATTTCAACTCTGCCACTTTTTAATCTTCATTTGGGTACTAATGTTTCTTTGTTTGCAGGGATTAGATAAAGCTACATTACAAATTGTCCAGCACAGACATTTGGACATTGTACATCATTTTAATAGAAATAATAATTTTTCTGTTACTACATCATGCAGAAATATCTGGGTACACATTTTACTTTAAATACAAGTGAGTTCATGGCGCTGGAGCTCCAGGTCAAATCACACTGGAGGTGTAGAGGTGACCTCCTGGGCCGGTTTTTATGGGCGACCTATGCACTGTTCCCTCTGCGGCCCAGTTCTGATGACGGGATCCAGTGTTGGTCCCACTTTCAAAGACTCCTGGGATCCCCCTACATGTGGGAGTGGGGCTTCCTTCCTCCTCGTTGCCTGTGGCGATGTGGGATTCCGGGGTCGGAAGCCCAGGCCCATTACCTGCCAGTGGGACAGGTGGCGCCTCTGCTTGAAGCAGCGGCTGCCTCTCAGCTACCTCAGCAGACCTCATGCAGGTTTGCTACAGTCTTGGTCCTTGGAAGGCTTCCTCTTCCTGCCCTAAGGCTGCACACCCTGCTGCAAGGTTCCATCCAGAGCCTTGGAAGGTGTGGACAGTTGTCAGTGTCCTTTGTGGAAGCTCTCGCCCCTGAGTGAGATTATTGTGGAAGTCAGAGGATGGAATACAATGGTGGGTGGTGGTGGTAATGTCTCAGAGCTTGAGCCCTGCAGATGGCTGGGGCAGAACACATCTAGAGCAGTTCTTGGTCGGAAAATAACAAGGTTAAGGGTTAACATTTACAGACATTTCCTGCTCCAGGAACTGCCAGCAGTGGGGATGCAGAGTGGACCGAGACGGGGTCCTGCGGGGACACTGGACACAGCTGCCGGTGGAAATACCTGGGAGAAGGGAGGTCTTCAGTCAGGGTGCAGGCTGTGGCTCGGGGTCACAGGCAAGCAAATGTTTAGATAACTGGGACAGTTAATTAGTAACAAGACCCTGTACTCATGCCGAGGAAGAGCTTAAATCCTTGCTTTTAATGGTATAGTACAACAAATACCAAGTTGCTATAAATACCACTTTTTGGTTAAGAAATTATACTCTCTGTGGCAGCACCATGGATGAGTATGTTGTTTGTTACATTCGTGTGGGTTGGTTTCTCTTTTTTCTTGGTCTGTTAATCACAGCTGGAAACATCTCATCAAATGAGCCAAAGTGATTTTAAATGTACCATCATTCTTCTGGCAGTAATTAATTGGGGTAGAAATGTGATGCCTAGATAGCACCTTGCATTTTAGGAAAGTTACAAAAACATTTTGGAAAATATTTCTACCTTAGTAACTGACAATAATAAAACCACTAATGTTGGTGATTCCTGTGTGCCGGACGCTGGGTTATCTCTCTCCATCTCTCAACCAGCCCTGGAGGCCAACAGTGTTGCTGCTTCCACCGTGGGGATGGGGGTGAGACCGAGATAGCACAGTGGGAGCATCTTGCAATCTGGCTCCCCAATTCTGTGCTACAGAAAACTGTGGGATGCACAGTTTGAACGCTCTAAGTTGCTTCTGGTTTCAGTTCTGTTTTAAGGGCAGTTACAAGTGCCATTAGGGACACCTACTTTGGATCACTCAGTTTGTTCATCCAAGGACAGTGGGTGCTCAGATTCCCCTGGAGAAACAGCTGTTCATGGGGTGGCACCAGAGCAAAGCCATTTCCAGCTGAGGTATCAGGGCATAAAGAACGACTCCAGGGTCAGTGTATGGTTTCCTGCTTCCCCAGTCACTTGGTGGTGATGCAGGTATTGGGCTGGCCACGCCCAGGCCGGGAGCAGGGAACAGCATTTGTGTGGCTCCCTTCACGTTCTCTGGGCTGAGGAGAGGAGTGGGCAGGTGCTCGGCTGGCAGGAGTCCCACATGGCATGGATGCAGGCCCCTACCCTTGTGTGGATTCCGGGGTCTGCAGCCGTGGCGCCTCCTTTAGCCCCCAGCTCCGACCCCAGCCTCTGAGCCCTGCTTGGTGCCGGCTGCTGACCTAGGTTTGGCCAGCTAAGCCAGTGCAGGGGTGGTGCTGAGCAGGAGTGGGAGCCTGGTGTGCAACACCGCGCTTTCTCCTGGATGGCGCACGAGTCTCGGCGCTGGCTGGAGGCCTGCTCCCGGCTCTTGGTCTCTAGGCCTGGCGGGGCCCCTGTCCCCTGTCCTCGGCTGTGGGGATAGCAGAGCCCTGCTCTGTGTCCACAGGTTAGCTCTGCGGGAACCCTAGAACCACCCTCTGGAGGAAATCCTTTCTCAGACTGCGCCTGCTGTCTTCTGTCCCTGTGGCTGGGGACAGGACGGTAACACTGAGAGCCGTGCAGCTGCCTGCTGAGTGCATTCATCAGGAAGAGCTCTCAGGCGACATAGATCTCAGGAGCTACCCAGACCGGACTGCACGGAGCTCCAGACTTTCCAGTGAGTCTGGGTTCTGGGGTTGCGGAGCAGAGCGCTTGCCTGGCATGTGAGATGCCCTGGGCTCGGTCCTCAGTACAGGGAAAGCGCTGGGAGCCCGGGGCTTGCTCCAGGCGTCCTGGTTGTTTTAGCTCCAGCTGGTCGGAGAACTGGGGCCACCCAGCTCGGCTCATTATTCTGATTCCTGAGTGGAGTCAGGGCCACAGGAAGAGGGAGGAGAAGGCGATGAGCGTCCCCGGGCCCACAGAGGGGAGCAGGTCCCCTCTTCTTGGGGCTTCAGGCTGAGATGATTTCTGGCGTCCCTTTAAGAATGGGCCTAAGAAGGCTCTTGATCGTTCGGTTTTATGATAATCCAAAAAGCTTTTAAATTATACAAGTGATCCATGATTCCTGAGAAAGAATTTTCAAAACAGCATAGAAAATCGTAAAAGTTAAAATCAGCTGGAATGTCACCACCCTGAGCTAACAGCAGCACGTCTCAGACCCTCTGTCTTCCATGGCCGGAAGTACTTTCCCTGGGTAACATTTTGCTCTTGCTTCGCCCCGCCCCGCCCCGCCCCACGTCTTTAGGCCGTGGTGGACTTTGTGCCCATGGAGCTCTGCAGCCTCGTCTGCGTGGCCGCCCACGCGCGCCTGAGGAGGGAGCCGGTGCCCACAGACGCGGGTCTCCTTCTCTCCGTAGGGCGTCCCTTGAGCCACCGGTAGAGATCTAACGGTTCTTCTGCCTCCTAATGTTGTACGTGAAACATACAGGAGAAAGAATTTTAAAGAAGGCCTCCTACTCGCTGCCTTGCTTCTACCGTTAACATTTTGCCATGCGGGTCGAATATCCCTCATCCAAAATGCTGGGACCAGAAGCATTTTATAATTTGGATTTTTGAATATTTGCATGTGTGTGATGAGATGTCTTGGGAATGTTTTGTTTTATTAATTTGCCTGTCTCTCTCGGTGCCAGTATTACTTCTTTTTGATTATAGTGTTATAGTTCTGTTTTAGTGTTGTTTCAAAATAAACCAAATCAGGACTCATTTATGTTTTCTACTGTTTTTATTTCTTATTTTAGTTTATATCTTTATTGATTTCCTGTTTTGGGCTTTATTTCATTAGATATCTTTCCCAGTTTGTTTTAAAGCAAAACATTTATGGATACAGTTTAGATAAGTGAAACTTTTATTAGTTTTGTTTTTATTGGTGACTAGTGAACAGGTTCATCGTGGGGCACTGGTGCATGTACATATTGCATCTTGGTCTTCTTTACTCCTCTTCCCTCCCATGACCCCTCCTATTAACTATCTCTCTGTTTTGGTGTAAAATATTTGATTGCCTCTTAGATATATTTAATTTAAAATCTGGTATTCGCTTTAATTAAAGGAGTTATTTAGAAAGGTACAGTTTAGTTTCTGAACAAACAAACTATTTTGTTGCTCTTTGAATTATATTTTGCTAATTTGTGGATCACAACAAGAGCTCTTTTCTTGGTGCAGGGGATCGAACTTGGTGGATCACAACAAGAGAACATTGTGTCTTACTTTTTCCCTCGTCTGTCCAGTTGGAAAAGAAATGTGATGGTAAATCCTGCTGTAATTGTTTTTGGTGAATACGTATCTACACCTGTCATATTTTCTCTTTCCTTGCCTAGTGTTTTCAGAAACCTTTAAATTCGCCCTTCTTGATATCAGCTTGTGATGCTGCCTCCACCTCCTTTGCGCCTGCGCTCACTTCTTCTCCCCCTTCCCCCACCATCCCCCGGCTCCTAGATCTGTCCTGCCCTCATGCAGAACCGTGAGTGGGTCCCGGCCGGCGACAGACCAGTCTGCATTTGCAGTGCTTCCTAGAACACGGAGGATGCATGTGAAAGCAGGAGGGAGCAAGAGGAAGAGAGAACAAACGGGCTCATCAGCCAGTAAATGATGAGGATGGGTAGAGATGGAAGCTCAGGCCCTGCAGCTCGCAGCAAGGCAGCTGACGAGGATGCCCCAAGCAAGCGTCAGGCATTCCTTCATCCTGGCTCTCTCTTCAGACCTTGCCTTTGTTCTCCTATGAAGAACTTACCAATTTTAAAGAACTGTCTGTGCACACACAGGCTAACACATATACCTAACACACATATGCGCTGCATACACATATGCTCCACACACACACACACACACACACACACACACACACTCATGCCATGTCCAGATGCTCCTCGGCTGTGAGGAGTCTCATTTCACCAGCTGTACGTTGCAGACATCTCCACTTGTAATTCCATCAGCTGCACCTCATCCACCCCACATCCCAGCTCAGCAGCGCAGTACCTGCAGAGTAGCACGGTTCCCTTGCTTGCAGGGCTGGATGGGGCTGCAACTGCCCAGCATCCTGAAGGAGGATTGGGCTGCATGTGTCCAGTCTGGGACAAAACATCCAAATCCAAAATGCAAAATACAGTTTCTGCTGAAGGCGCTTTGCTTTTGCTCCCAAAGTTGAATGACTGTAAGTTGAACTGCTCCGTAAAGCCTGGATGGCAATCAAGGAGCTGGAGAGGCCCTGGCTTTGAGTCTGAAGTCGAGTGGTGCGGCTGGATTGAGCGGGCCCCTGACCACGTATGTGGGTAGACAGTTAACAGCCAGCTACTGCGGGCTGGGTGCAGGTGCAGGGCCAATCATTTCTGCCTGGCTCCATGGTGCATGTTCAGCTGGCTTCAGGCACTGTCAGGGCTCCATGCTTGATACAGCCATTTCCTGGCTGGCGCGGGCATCACCTCATGTGGGCACGAAAATACCACCAACCTCCTGCCGGACAAGGCTCACAGACACATTCCTGTGGCTCCCTGGCTGTTCTGAGCGATTTAGTAATTGCTCTCTAAGTTTCTAATTACGGGGTTTTGTTTTTATTTTTGAAAACAACGTGGTCTTAAGTAGGTGATCTCTTGAGCGGACATTTTCTGTGCTTGTTGGCTACCTCCTCCCCACAAATTCTCCGCGGCCACAGCTGCGCACCCTAACACTCCACCGCACGTTCATCTTCATGCCAGAACAGGTGGAAAGGTGATTCAGACTTCCCCCTCCTGCCAGTGGCTCAGGGAGTGCCCCAGAGAGATGGAGGAGGGTGCTCAGGGCCCCTCTGCCGGTTGCCTCAGAGTTGGGGCCTAGAACATGTGAATGTGAATTTGTTTGGTTCTGGTTTAGTAGACGTAGCAGATCTTAACAGGATTTAATTTCTACGGTGCTTCCTGTGGTTAAAACAGGAGATGACCAAAGGACGACTTCACAGACGACATATTTTACTTCCATACCAGGAGGTTTGTTTTTCCCTTTTCACAGTGTTTAATGGGGAAGAGAAAAATAAGAATACAACTCAAGGGGAACATGCTCAGTAAAGCAGGTCAATTGACTGCACAGTGAGTGAACTCCTGTTTTGTTCAGTTACTTGGATCTGGTTGTTCTTACATGTGGAATGAGGCCTCTTTGGATGCAAAATTTAACAGAAGTTTGAGGGGTGCCTCTCCCCAGGAGTTTTGGGAGTGATGCCTTGACGAGAATAGCAGGATCCTTGATGACCAGCCAGGACCCGGACGCCAGCAAGCAGTGCAGGTGCTGGCAGGAAGGGCTTGGGGACCAGGCTGGAGGCTGGGACAGATCAGCCCTGCTGTGGGCCCAGCTTCCAAAGTGTCTGCCAAGGCCTGGGCTTGAGCCCGTGGCTGAGGCTAAGAACTCAAAACGGGGGTCTGATAAGGTGTGGCATCATCTCACAAAGGAGGACTACATCTTCCCTTCACAGCAAAGCCTGGGTCACCGTGTTGGTCAGTTCTTCCATCACTATGGCAAATACTGGAGCTGATCAACAAAGAGAAAAGGTTGATTTGGGCTCACAGTTTTGGTGATTTCAGCCCCTGTGGACCTAGGAAGAGGCCACACACCCGGGCAGGGAGTAGGCAGCAGGACCTCGCCTCATGGAGGGGAAGCAAAAGAGGAAGAAGAGACCAGGCCCCGTGGCTCCCTTGGAGGTCACCCCTTCAATGGGCAAAGAGTGCCCTTCAGGCCCTGCCTCTCAAGGGTTCCCTTAGTCCCAACTGCACCACCCTGGGGACCCTGTCTTCAGCCCACGTGCCTGTGGGAGCACTCAAGGCCCAGCGCGTGGCACACTTACCCAGCACACTAGGCGCTGGAATCACTTTAAGCTGAAGAGCACCTGGCTACAGGGCCATGCTGGGAAATGTCCAGTCTCCTAAACAGAAAGATAGTAGTCTATAGAATTAACTTTACACATCTTCCTGTAAGTTTGAGCTACATAGTGAAGAAAATACAGTGCAATTATGAAAGGAAACAGCCAGAAACATTCATTAGACATCTACTGAGAGGGCACATACCATGCGTTCTAGATGTCTTCTTTCACTGGTCCTCATGGCTACCTTCCAAGTCCCATTTCATCAGAGGAGGGCACTGAGGCACAGGTAAATCCTTTGCTCAAGTGGGTCTTACAGCCAGTGAGTAGTGGAGCCACAGTGCGGGTACATTCAGTCCTTTTGACATCGCTCTGAGTGGGGTGTTTTGTGCCCGTGTTGGGGACGACACCATCGGCAGTGGGAGCTCCCTGCTAAGAGGGTTCTGAGCTGCCCTGACTCCCCATGGGCCAGCTCCAATCAACCCCTCCCACGGTGAAGATGGTCCAAGCAGAGAATGTACCTGATCACCTAGCCTAGTGCACCACCTAGCCTAGGCAGAGTGGGGTGTTGGTGGCTTCTGCTCATGACTGGGCTGAGTGGGAGCTGCATGTGGCCTGCTGCTGCCCAGCGTCATGAGAAGGATCAACCTGCATGGCCTCAGCTCAGGAAAGGATCCAAACTTAAAACTCCAAGGTCTCATTTCTACTGAACGCCTGCCATTCTGCATCATGGTGAAGTTGACCATCATAAACCAGTCAGCCTGACAAGAGGGAAAGCCCGTGTTGGGCAGGGCGTGGGGTCCTCATTCCTGGACAGGAGCACAAGTGCCCTCTCAGACCCCCTTTTGTCAAGTTGGGGCCCAAGGACCCAGCCCCATCTTTCCATAAAAACAGTTTCTGAATCTCCATGCAGAAGTGGGAGGAAGTGGGAAATGCAGCCTGTGTGCAATTTGCTTTGTTTAAACTTTTAAAAAAAGGCATTTTGTAAACTGAAGAACTGTACTAGTCAAGGAATGGTCTGGCCCAAAACTGAGTGGTTCAACATGTGGCTGAAGTGCTTCTCCTACTTTTACATCCAATGAGAAACAAGCCCAGCCAGTGCCGGGGGCGTGCTGTGTGAGGTGTGTGTGTGCAGAGCTTAGAGCATGCTGGCCCTGGCCAGGGCCCAGGCTGCAGTGGTGCAGGACCTGCAGGACCCTGCTGCCTGCATTTGCTGTTCGGCTGAGGGGCTTGGCCAGAGTCAGACAGAGCCTGCCAGCTGTGCTTAAGGTCCAGGGGGTGTAGGGTGGAAGATGGGCTCAGGAAAGGCCCCATGGAGATGGAGCCCCTGCAAGTGGACTCCAGGGCTTCTGGAAGTGGGTGTCCCCCTGCTGAGCCAGGTGACACCCTGGAAGCTTGTAGGAAACTGCAATATCTTCCCCCCAACATGTGCTTCAGTTGGACAGGTCTGATGGAGAGCCTGCACCTGCTCCAACCACATCCCAGGGGCCCGCATGAGAAGCAGGACAAAGTGCTGCAGGATCACAGCAAGAGGAGACCAGGGAGGAGCATGACAAGCAGAAGGCATCACGGCCGTTAGTGGCTCAGTAGGATGTGCACTGAGTGTACTCGAGGCCCTGGGTTCAATAGATTCACATCAGTGTCCCTCCCCACCCCAATTAGGCAGAAGGTGCAGAGTGACCAGAACTCTCAGCATTGTTCAGGGGAAGACTGAGCAGTCAAGTTTGGCTGCAGATACTGGGAGGCAGCTTGGGGCTGTGTCATAGGCATCTCGTCATTTGCATGGATCCCACTGGTGGTCCATGTCTGTGCTGCTCGAAGGATTGGTGCCTGGCCTAGTGGTCAGGATGGTGGTTAGGAGGGAGATGGCCAGGTGCCCACGGTGCCAACAGATGTCCAGGTGGGGAGGGTAAGGACAGAGGGCTAGGGAGACATTGACGTCTATGGGCTTCATGCCTTAGCTGTGCTGCTAAGCGGGCTGATGATTAGGAGATATCGCAGAAGATGCATTCAGAATGAGCTGCTAATCACTCAGGAGATTTAAAGGGAGTAGGAGATCAAAAGACCCATAGATGAAGGTTGAAGGGCTTCAGAGGGTTGGAATGAGTCTTTGACCTTCAGAAGATTGTTATCTAGAGCATTATTATTATTAAGAAAGGACCAGCTGCTCTCTCCTCCTTCAACATGTAATTTGAAAAAAATTTCTTTGTCTTTATTCTTAAAAATCTCAGATAGGAACATCTGAGAACATCCAAAGCCCATGGGATGCTGTTTCAATTTGGGCTTCCAAATCCAAATGGGTAGGAAAGCACTGCAGGCTGCCAGCTTTTCATATGGGAGTGGAGATGTGGGCTGGAGTGATGTGCGGTGGACAGCTTGCCCGCCCCTGTCTGGGCTCCCCGTGGGAGTGTTGCACCAGGGCCAGGGGACTGATTTCCGAGAGCAGTGCCATAAGGGGGCACCAGGCAGAGCCCGCCTGTGGCAGGGGCATGGAGGTGGCGTACAGGTGAGAGGAGCTCGGGTGTAGAGGAAGAGAGGACAGCACCGCGCCGGGACATGGGGACGTGGAGCCCCACCTTTTGGGTGGCCACCCCCCAACCTCAGCCCTGCAGAGGATGCAATCGAGGAAGGGCACACTGGAGTGGGTGCAGGTTTTGCTCACCCTGGCGGTGCCATCTCAGCTGGGGCTTGTTGTGCTGGTGGCTCCAGCAGCAACGCAGTAGCTCAGTGTGCCACAGTCATTGTGTGTGGCCATGCACCTCTCCCCTGCTGCTTGCTAGCTGTTACAACTCTGCAAGTTCCACAGCTTCTCTGAGCTGCAGGCTGTCAATGTCCTGCTATGATCTGAGCATGTCCCCAGAGTCCACGCATGGGAGCTTCAATGTGGCGGTGCGGGCCGTGGGGCCTGGGGGAGGGAGAGCCCTCGTGAACGGGTTGTGGCCTCTCGTGGGAATCCATAGAAGTGGAGGACTTTGGGCCCTTCCACCCTCTTTTGCAAGTGCTGACTTGCTCTTCTGCTTTCCACCCTGAGTTGAAGCAGCACGAGGCTCTCACTGTCAGCTGAATGGGTGCCAATGCCTTGCCTTAGGCTTCCTGGCCTCCAGAACCATTTCTCAAAAGAAGCTTCTTTCCTTTTTAAGGTACATGGTCTCAAGTATCCTGATATAGCAACACAAAATGGTCTTAGACACCTCCCTGGTGAAGATCGAACGAGACATGAAGGGCATGTCACTCTGTACCCCCAGGGACTGCAGCCTTGGTCATGAGGAGCACTCTCTTTTCCTGGGCTGCCTG